TCTCTCTCTCTCTCTCTCTCTCTCTCTCTCTCTCTCTCTCTCTCTCTCTCTTCCCTCCTCTCTCTAAATTTCTTTTGAAAAGTTCGTAAACAGATAGGTGTTGTTCATATTATAAATCTTTGATGTAAGATCGTTGAGTCTTCTTTTTTAATTATTTATTTTTTATTTAAACGCATGTGAATATTAATATTAAAGGATGGCAAGTATGAGTTTGTAAATCAATAATGATGCGATACATATCATGAATTATTATTTATCTCGATATTAAATCAATATTAGGCAAAAATATTATTTTACATTGTTCAAGATCTCTAAATGTTTGTCAATCGTGTGCTCAATTTCGTTCACGAACTATTTCAAATATCATAAAGATTTGTTTCAAAAATTATAAAAAAAATAATTCCATAGTTACTATTGAAAAAAAGAAGAAATTGATAATGCGAGATGAAAATATCTGTGATAAATATTAATAATTAAAATAATTATTTAAAAAAAAATAATTTTCACGTTACATATTGCTATAATATATAAAAAAAAATATTTATATGAAAAAAATTATTATTCATTTGTCGCCAAATCAAGCATTATTCTTCGATGTTTAAACTTTCCATTTCTGACCTTGGGCAACTTTACATACACATGCATATGTTTAATCTGCATGATTTATTTCTCGAATATCGTTCCGTTCGACACAAATTAGAAAGATAAAGAACAGGAAAGGAATTCGAATATTTAATCTCAATTAAAATTCCCGCAATTAAAAACTAATTAGTCATAGCTTTTTAATTGCGAACTAATTGTCGACCATCGTTTTCTCTCCGACTTTCTTCCACGAACGTTACATTCTTCTTCACTATAAATTAATAAAATAAAAAATATTAATTGGAGAAAACGATCAAAACGATTTATCCAAACCGTCTTTGCCTCGTTCCAAAAGAAGATTTCTGTATCTCTCATCGCTAAAATGATGTTTCGTATTTAGTTGCCAACTTATGTTACGCAGAATTTGGAAATTAATCTTCTTTAAAATCGTGAAAATTTAAATGTTGCGTGATCGCTGTTTTTATTACACAAATCTTATTCAATTAAAATAGGAACGCTTGGAGGAAAAAGTCACTTATTTTGTTTTTTAATTTCTTTAAATTTTAATAATATGCGGAATAATTCTGCGGAAGCAGAATCTTTCGAAAGATTTCCTCATTTGAAAAATTTTATAAAATAAATAACTTCATTATTCGTTTATTCATCAATCTTCACAGCTCTATCTTAAAATTGAATTTTCCTTTTTTTCTCAATCAATAATTTTATCTTCAAATAACATAAAGAAATTATAAAATATAAAAGATGAAAAGAAAGGAATTGGAGAAATTGTGCAATGAAGAAAACATACACATTCAAAGAAATCGAATTCACTTTTTATCTCGGTTTTTAAATTTGTCAAAAGACAGTGTCATACACAAAGATTTCTCAATCTAATTTATCTAATCTAATATATATGAATGGACATAATGTTAAATGATTGTTGAAAATTAATCAATTTTGCGATGTAATTTATTCTTTGTTTTTAAAAGTATGATAAATATCGCTTTTTTTCATTTTTTTTGTCCATTCAAAAATCATCGAACGCTCGTAATATTTTACCAAAATGATTTTTATTCAAACCAAAAATCTCGATCCCTTTTTTTCTACAAATTTACAGTCTTTCGAATCGAATAATTCGCGATAATTTATTTTTCTATAATTATAATCCAACAGTTCATTATAACATCGGAAAGAAATAAAAGAGCGATAAATACAAATTAGATAACTATTATATTAGATATGTTATCTGAATCGAATTACTCGATATAAAAAAAACTTGCATTGATTGATTTTTATGATTGCGCGCTATTTATTTACTTTTAATCTTTTGAAAAGTATGTGTTTATACATAAAAAACAAAACTGATATCGATATTTCAATTTATTAATTATAATATTGATTTTATATTTAAAATTACATTACATATAAAAAAAACTGAACAATTTTGGATATAAAAAAGCTTAATGAAATATTAATTATTTATTATTAATTTTAATGACAATACACGCACAGATTATGCACTTAGAATTTCTAATAATAAATTAAAATTAAAAAATCATTAGTGATTTCCTGTTCTATTATAAACTGCATTATTATACAATACTGCATTATTTCAAATTTCTCAATAATTATATTATCGCTTATAGGAATTTATGATTCGTTGAAAATCAAAATTATATCCTGAAAAGAGAAATGAGATGATAATTATGAATCTTACTTAAATCGATTTCGTTTCAGTTATTATTCGTCTTTTAATTATTTGACAATAAAAAATTTCATTGTTCATTTTCATTATCCATGCACACTCTCACCGATTCAATATTTTTCAAGATACGGTTATTGATATATCGAAATGACACATCCTACATGTTTGTTTTTCCAAACACAGTCATCAAAGTATTGTATCATATTTCATCATCGATAAATCTCGTATCGTATACATACACATAACTTAGAGGCACTTGTAAGAATAATTACACTATTGAAATTTTTTTCATTACGCGATATTTGTTAGCTATTCACATCGTATAAATTAATTAAACATTCATTCAAACTCGTAAACATCGTTTCATCTTATTAGCCATATGTTTTTGCGCGATTATCGCATTCGGGAAATCATCTTTTCCATGAATTTCGCGAACGATGCTGCGATATATATTGAACGCGTATATTTCCACGTGTCGATGCATTTTGACCCCGAGCCAGAGCGTGGGTGTGTATTTCGTTTGAAAGGGGCGGTTCACTGCGGCGAATTGTAGTCACTTTACTTCGTTAAGTTCTAAAGAGACGAATGCCTCGTTGCTTGATGCATGTTTTCTTTATGGTTGTTTTTCTCCTATCGGGGATACCCAGGATGAATTACGAATTTGTCTTATCTCTCTTTC